CCATTCGATAGGTAATTAAAAATTGCATTTCCTGGTAAGTTAAAAAATATAGGGTTGTATTTAAATTAATCAAGTTAGAGCCACTTAAAGTTCTTATTTGATTAGTTTAAATTTGTGGACACCCTGTATAACATAGTAAGTTTATTATCATTGGGATATAAAATATTGTATCTTGTTACACTTCACTATAAATTACGCTTACTTAACTTAAATACTTCTAAAGTATTTGACACGTGAAAATTAGATTATATTTTGATTAAATTCGTATTATTTAAAAAACCTTAAGATGGTTAGGTGTTATAAACCTTATTAAAACAGACACCTATTTTGTTCAGCGAATCCAAAAATGCAATAATATACAGGACATTCCATTTAAAAAAACGCAACTTTGATACCTTTAGAGCTTTTGGGACACCCTCTACATTACGAAAATATTTTTAAAATGTGCGCTCAGTAGGCGTCGGATAATTCATAAAATAATACTTTTTAAGAATCAAACGGTTTAGCCGCAAACTTCCGTGCCGTATAGCGTGAATAAGTATACCGTATACCCAGTGATTATTTTCCTCACACAAGAGAGTCTCCTTGTGGAAGGTGGCGTTCTGAACGCTTAAATCACGCCCATTTGAGCTCGTTGTTTATGACCACGCTCCTGGCTTGTGGTTCAGACGAAACGATTTGTGCACACCCTGTATTTTCGGGTTCCAGGTCTGGTTCGACATCACTATTGGGGACGAAGCAGTGGGTCGAGTGGAGATCGGGCTGTTCGGCAAAACCGTGCCCAAAACCGTTGAAAACTTCAAGCAACTTGCCCTGAAGCCGGCCGGCGAAGGCTACAAGGGCAGCAAGTTCCATCGCGTTATCAAGGACTTTATGCTGCAGGGCGGCGACTTTACCAGAGGCGACGGAACCGGCGGTAACCGCTGTGGTCTAATTCGGGCACAAACCCCGTATAACTGCGGGCTTCAATTCTAGGACGTTCCATCTACGGGGAGCGCTTTGAGGACGAGAACTTCAAGCTGAAGCACTATGGGGCCGGATGGCTCTCCATGGCCAACGCTGGCAAAGACACGAACGGCTCCCAGTTCTTCATCACGGTGAAAGCGACCAGTTGGCTGGATGGCAGGCACGTGGTCTTCGGCAAGGTGCTCAAGGGGATGGACGTGGTGCGGAAGATCGAGGCCATAAAGACCGACGGCAGGTAAGAGGCAACAACCAAGCATTCATTGTAAAGAGATTTGAAACTACCGTGCTTTTTTCAGGGATCGCCCGGTTAAGGATGTGGTGATTGCGGACAGCGGCGTCGAGACGGTGCCCGAACCCTTTGGAGTAGCCAAGGAAGATGCACGGGACTAGATAGGGTAAACGTGTCAAAAACCCATTTTGTTTTTTCTACAAGAATTGCCAATAAAAAACTTTTCTATACACTGCCGTCTTAAACAATTTAACAGACAGTAAATACAACTTGATTGAAATCTCCTGTTTTGGAGCCACTCACCATCCTAGTTGACGGATCAATGCTAATGAAAATGAGGCATTTAAAGCAATTGCTCTCATTGAATCCTTCCACCAGGCTTACCCAGTCTCGTTAAGGCCCTCTTTATTGTTGTCGGCCCGCCTTAGCAGGCCTCCTAAAACATTTTCTGCTGGTGGTGCAATCTGGAAAAACCACTTGTTTGTTCGCCCTTATGGTAAAGATATGGTAAACTGGGCCATGAAAGAAAGCCCTACTTTCCACCAAGTATGTATCAGGGGCGGATCCAGCTTTAAAGTCAGGGGGGGTTATGTGAAAAAAATACAGTCTTCTGTTATCTATGAAATTAAAAAAATGATCGTCGTTTCGTGCAAGGGTGGCGCAAGATTATTGCAAAATTTCATGTTATCCGTCCCGTTTTGCACGTTTCTCGGAAGCAAAATCAGCAAGAACGCTCGTTTTTACATCATTCCAGAGATAACTAAATGGCCTTTATTCGAAGTTGCTCAAGAACCATTCGAGCCACAGAATTCGTTTTGGCATCGTTGGATAGAGAATTGAAAAGTCGATTCAGTCCTAACAGCGTTAGTGGGGAAATTCGAGTAGTTTTGACGCAGAAAGCCCAATTCGAATATCACACACTTAGGTGCAAGGTTATGCCAAAACTCCATGTTTTCAGTCCCGTTTTTGCTCATTTCTCGGAGGCCAAATGAGCAAGAATGCTCATTTGTACATCATTCTAGACA